CTGAGCGGAGCAAGGAAGCTAGTGGTTTTACAATGGTGTTTATTTTTTTTTTTATTTTTGAAGTGAAACTTCTTATGTGAGGGGTATCGAAAAAAAAGAGAGTGACGCTCTGACCGTCACGGACGCTCGGGCGTCACGGACGATCGGGCGTCACGGAAGCTCGGGCGTCACGAAAACGGTACGATGTTTTGTTTATAAACAAACCAGTATAAACGTATAAACAATATTCCGTAGTCAAGTTGATAAAAGCGAAATCGCATATATAATAAATATTCCAGAGTGCGCGATGAGTAAAAGAAATGTCGCGGAATATGAGAGTTCGGCCGGAACATTATAAAAATATATATAATATACTATTTTTAGGTGAGTCAAATTATGTATATTAAAAATATAACTCGATGAATTTAATCATACTATATGACTATACTATAAGTATTTAATAAATAATAATAATAATAATTAATATTTAGTTAATACTTGACACATTTACAATGACCAACGCACCTATATTTTTCAAATAGTATATAATACTCTGATGGTTCAATTGTATAATGATATGACATAATTTGATATTACTCAATATATATGTCTATGGTCTATCAAGTATATTTATTTATTTAATATCAAATGTAATAATTTATGAATAACAAATTGATATATATATTATGTACCTACATAATATGACTAATGTATTTTATAGATGTATGTATATACATAATAGTAGGGTTATATTATATGTATGGACATGAATTACTACTGATATTAGTAAATATTTTGGTCCATTGGTCTAAAAGTATAAATTAAGTACCTACACATAATATTATAAAGGTAGGTAGTAGGTATTACTTAATGTATTACGGTTTTTAGGTGAGAAAACAAAATATAACTTAATGTATTTAATTAAATTCTGGCAGGTAAATTGCATAATGGTATGACTAAACTATACTATACTAATTAAACTATTTAATAAATAATAATAATAAATATTTAATTAATACTTGATTTCATCTACATATTTACCATTACCAACGTACCAATATGTTTCCTTTATACTTGGATAGAAAATGGTACAAGTACAATTATTTATATTATATATAAGTAACCTACATGTATACTTTGTAGAAGGTACCTACTTGATATATCATTATTAATACCATAAATATATATATACCATTAATTAACATAAGATTATTATTATTATTATTATTATTACAAAACCTCATATCAGTTGTATGACTGAAAGAAGTTTCACTTCATCCCCGCGTACTTCTTACACGCTCGACTTTTTTCAATGCAATTTTTAAATTTATATATAAGTGCAATTTTTAATATATTTTAATGCAATAATGCAATCAATTTAGTGTGTTTTTTAATGCAATAACTTCACTGCCCTAATTATTATATATTACAAAGATAGATGGGTATAATATTATTATGTAGAAAATTACGAAGGATCGTAACAATTATTATTTATTATATATTATATTATAAAATATAAAAAAATAAATAATAATAAATGTTAATAACGTTATAAATTTTTAACTTTTTAGACCAGGCGCTATCGACGACCAATAATTACCTCGCATCGGTATCACGTAGCGCGTGGATAATTTTACATAGAAAATTTGCATTGTTGACACATCAAATGATTCATAACTCACAGCTACACTTCTGCAAATCGGACATCGGCACATCGGACAATCGGCAAAACGGCATTTCCTCGATAGAAGCGCAAAGCGTTTCCATACAATCGTCGCATATTTTGTGTTGACAATTATTTAGTTTCACGGTCAGTTTAAAAAACGACAGACATATTGGACATTGACCGTTGTTCAAAAACCAGATACAACTGTTTTGAGGATTAGATTCCGTCACGTTTTCGAAAAACGTTAAATAATCGATTACGTCGTAATTTATGCCCCATTTCGACAGCATGTACATTTTCGATTTTTCCAATTTTGATACATACTTTATTTTGCGGATAATTTGCGTAATTTTGCGGACTAATTTTCAATTTTTGCGGACAAATAGAGTTATAGTAAAACTAAAAAACTGTTGACATGCTGGTGGAATGGTTCAAAAAATTAAAAGATTTTAATTAGACGATTTTAATTAAAATTAAAATCGTCGTTATTGTTGTTGTTATTGTTGTCGTTGTCGTCGTTGATTCCGTCTTCGTTAATCACAATGACCCGTGCCTTATTACAATGTAAATTGACAAATTATTAATTCATAATTATTAATTCATTTATAGTTTATATAGTATACTATCTCAGCCCGACGAATTCTCCGATCTAGGATCCTAAAAATTCTTCGATAAAATCGAGGATGAGGTATATAATGTCATATAGAAAATTACCAACTTGCAGTGTTCACCCCGTTTACTCATTAACCATAAACAACTTTAATTCGACAGTCTCTATCGACCCATCTGTAGCCATTACTCAGTTTACCATAATCTTTATGTTTATTCGATTTTGTTTTACGGTAGCTATTAAACAACAGTATAATAATTCACTACCCTGAAAGAATGACACAAATCAAAATATTGAGAAATCGACTTTTGATGTTTCATTATGACCATACATAATAATAATTATGACATAATTTAGTCATTATAAATAGGATTTTCAATCAATTTTTCTTTTTCCAACCTTATATTATTCTGAATATTGTATTGTATACTTTTGTATGCGCTTAAAACAATAATTTAAGTACCATTTCACCTTTGTTTTATTGTAAATCTGATTTCAGTTTGACTTGCGTCGTTATGTCTGCTTGAAGAAAATAAATATTTTTTGATTTACGTCACATAAAGTTAAATTCGATTTGTAATAACAATATTATTTATTACATTAAAATGTATAACTTGTGCTTAAACATTTAAGATCAATAACACTTAAAAATACAAAACAACAGGTATGTAAATATTTGTTATTATTGCATGTTTCAACTACTTGATACATTTTAGGCAATAATTATTATTATTCGTGAAAAGACCAAGAATTGTATAAACCGCATTGGTATATACGAGATGTGAAATAAGGGATGATTGCGAGGTCGACGGATCTGTTGTGGTACCTATATAATATTACAACACGCAAGCGTGCCCAAGGAGGGTACCAAAATATTATATAATATTATTATGGCCAATGTCGTACGATTCGATTTTTCTCCAGGATAGTATCCGATGTGATTGTGGCGGCGACTACAAACGATGACATCTACACGGTCTCCATCTTATCGATATATCACGCAGGTGTCGGTAGGAGGTATACATGTATAGGTACATAATATAATGTCCGCAGAAACAGGAAGAAACGTGATACGGAAATCCCAGTGCACTATACATCAAGACGATCATAGACCTCGATGTGTCGGCCGGCGGTGCACTAGAAAGTGGCCCTCTAGATTTATTTTATTTTCTATCAGAAGTCTATATTATACATACAGAGTGATTCGTCGAGCGAGCTCAACCACGTTTTTTCGTTTGAAAACGAATTTATACAAATTCTGATTTTTGGAATTTTTTTATGTGATAGATATATATAT